TAGTTGAACATTTAGGAATTAAATTGGATAGGCCACAGCTGTACAGGGGAGATGGAGTTCACCTCTCTGCTGAAGGTTCAGAGATTTATGTTAAGGCACTCTCAGAACAAATTAGAAAAGCATTTTGGGGGGGAGGGGATGCCTAGCTAGGCTGGCTCCCCTTTATGATGGGTAATGACCCCCACCCCACAGGAAAAATTAATCTGGCTAATTAAATTAATTGGGGTAAATTTGGAAAAGGTTAAATTAAAGGAAGTTTAATATGTAGTTAAATGCATGAAGTTGTTATTTAATGACATCATATGATGTAATATGATGTAATTTCTGGTGGGGAGGGGTTTTTAAATTTGTTGTTGTTATTTGTTTAAATCTTTGTCACAAGTGGTGAAGGGCCACCCATCTGGGTGGGTCACACCTTCACACACACATGTGACAAAACTGTTGGAAGTTTATTCCTTGTAAATAGACCCTATACAGCAAAATAAAAGTTGTGGCCTGTTTAAACTCAAAAAGAGGTGTCACGTGTCCCTTGTGCCAGTGCAACAAAATTGATGTGAGAAAGCAATAAATCTGCTTAGCAAAAGTCAGTTTCCCAAGGTTCAAAATTCTTGCTGTGAAGACTCATTTTGTTATATGTGCAGTAGTGGAGATTCTTGTATTAATATATGTAGTTTGACATGAAGCCATTGTCTTTGTTCATATCTCTGTTACTTGATTGGAATTTGTCAATATATCTCACTTCAGAGGTTTTTCTTACTAGTCTTCCTTTGTAATTTCCTTGCTCAAGGACCACAACCTCTAAATCACTAGGAAGGTTGAAATGTTTTGCAACTGGTTTGGGGTCATTGCCATTAGATTGTGTCCATTAATCCTTTTATGTGGAGGCTGTCCTGTTTGTCTCAGGTGTAAAGGGGCACTGCTGGCATTTGTTGTTTTGTTGTGTGCCTCCAAGTCATTTTTGTCTTATGGTGACCCCAAGGGAAACCTATCATAAGCTTTTCTTGACCAGTTTCTTCAGAGGGGGGTTGCCATTGCCATATTCTGAGGATGAGAGTGTGTGACTTGCCTAAGGTCACCTTTTATGCTCAAGCAGAGAATTGAACCCTGATCTCCAGGGTTGAAGTGTAATGCTCAAAACACTACACCACACTGGCTCTCACAATGGCATATGTCACACTCTACACTGAAGAAAGCATGTGTTCAGCCACTGAACTATAATCTTTTATATTTTCATAAATGTTTCAGATACATGCTACCATAATTTATTGTCATTTTGACAAGTGTGCTGTCAAGACGGATCTCTTCCGGCAGACCTTTCCAGACTAAATATCCTGGCCTCGGGTTCCCCCCCCCACCCCGCCTCAGTAGAACCTCTAGAACCCCTGTTCTGTTGGAAGAAAGTTACAGGGGTTTTATTATTGCATTGTATTAATTTTAATTCTTTTTTTAAAATTGTTAAACATGGTTTTAATTATAATGTAGTTTAATAATGTTTTAAGGGGGGGGAGGGAATATGTTGTTTTATGTTCTATGCAAATTTTTATGCTGTAAATCGCCCGGATTGGGCTACCAGTGGGTGGTATAAAAATAAAATTTATTATTATTATTATTATTAAGTTGTCTACTCTATGTATAGCTGAATTTCTATCTAAATCAAAATAGACTCACATCATTCCAGTCTTTTATAAAATTCTCTAAGTTGCCATCAGTCCTCAATCTTGTTAATCTATCTATTTCAGTGATGTCATATATTCTTCTATTGTTGGGATCGTTTCCATTTTCCAAAATTGTGTGAAGGTCATTCTTGCAGCTGTAATTAACTGAAATAATAATAATAACCTTTAGATACATTTTTTATCTGTTTCAGAATCGATAATATTCAATAAAAACAATTCTGGTATTCTATATTAAATTGAAAAATGTCTTCTAATACTTTGTGTATTTGTAACCAGAATTTTAAAACTCTTTTACAACTCCACCAAATGTGAAAAAAGTTCCCTTTTCTTTTGCACACTTTCAACATGAATTATTTATGCCATACATCTTCAGAAGTCTGTCTAGAGTAAGGTACAATCTGTAGAACATTTTATAATAATTTTCTCTAATATTTTGACTTTTTGTATATATCAACATTTTAGACCAAGTGGATTCCCATTGTTCTAAGTTTATTTGGTGACCTAAGTTTTGAGCTCAGCTAATCATATTATTTTTTCTTATTTCTTTTTCCATTTTGATTTGCAACAGATATTTATATAGTTTGGACATCATCCCTTTATTTTCTAATTCTAATATTTTCTCTAATTCAGTCTTTTTAAACTGTATACCTTTTTCTTTATATTCTAGTTTAAATCTTTCCATTAATTGTCTTAATAGGTACCAATGTATCTCTGTTCCTTCTTTTAAGAACTCCTCCTGTGTTTTAAACCTGAATCCCTCACCTTGTCTAACTATTAAGTCCTTATATCTGAGCCAATTTTTAATTTTAGTAATGTGATTTTATATTTATCAGATAAATGGGGCTCAATGGCAACACAAGGATTTAGAAATTAATTGATGATAACAGTTGGTATTTTGTACTTTGTATGTAGGATAGAGATATATAATAATAACATTAAGGTTTAGAAATGGACTCAGTAAGAGAATATAGAAATATATAGAATGTGTAGAAATAATTACCTAGTTTAATTTAAGTTAGTTCACAGGGCACTGAAATATGATGATATACACTGAGAGGAATAGTGATACTGGTTTGAAGAGAACCAGAACTCTAGATAA